ACCAGGAGATTCCCTTGGGTGCCTACACCACCAGGGCCTTGGGTTTCAAGTGCAAAGCTGGGCAGCCATTTGGGCAGACACTGAGCTAGCTGGAGGAGTTTTTTTCCATATCCCGGTGGCACCTGGAACGCCAGCAAGACAGACCCATTCACTCCCCTGGAAAGGGGGCTGAAGCCAGGGAGCGGAGTGGTCTGGACCAGCGGATCCCACCTCCATGGAGCCCAGGAAGTTAAGATTCACTGGCTTGAAATTCTCGCTGCCAGCACAACAGTCTGAAATCGACCTAGGATGCTGGAGCTTGGTGGGGGGAGGGGCATCTGCAATTACTGAGGCTTTAGTAGGATGTCTTCCCCTCACAGTATAAACAAAGCCACTAGGAAGTTCGAACTGGGCGAATAGTGCCACAAAGCCACTGTAGCCAGACTGCCTCTCTAGATTCCTCCTCTCAGGGCAGGGTATCTCTGAAAGACAGGCAGCAGCCCCAGTCAGGGGCTTATAGATAAAACTCCCATCTTCCTGACACAGAGCACCAGGGGAAGGGGCGGATGTGGGCGCAGCTTCAGCAGACTTAAACATCCCTGCCTGCCAGCTCTGAAGAGAGCAGTGGATCTCCCAGCACAGCGCTCGAGCTCTGCTAAGGGACAGGCTGCCTCCTCAAGTGGGTCCCTGACCCCCGCCCATGCCTCCTGACTGGCAGACACCTCCCAGCAGGGGTCGACAGACACCTCATACAGGAGAGCTCCGGATGCCATCTGGCGGGTGCCCCTCTGGGACAAACTTTCCCGGAGGAAGGAACAGGCAGCAATCTTTGCTGTTCTGCAGCCTCCACTGGTGATACCCAGGCAAACAGGGTCTGGACTAGACCTCCAGCAAACTCCCGCAGACCTGCAGCAGAGGGGCCTGACTGTAAAAAGGAAAACTAATAAACAGAAAGGAATAGCATCAACATCAACAAAACGGACATCCACACAGAAACGCCATCCAAAGGTCACCAACATCAAAGACCAAAGGTAGATAAATCCACGAAGATGAGGAAAAACCAGCGCAAAAAGGCTGAAAATTCCAAAAACCAGAATGCCTCTTCTGCTTCAAAGGATCACAACTCCTTGCCAGCAAGGGAACAAAACTGGACGGAAAATGAGTTTGATGAACTGACAGAAGTAGGCTTCGGAAGGTGGATAATAACAAACTCCTCCAAGCTAAAGGAGCATGTTCTAACCCAATGCAAGGAAGCTAAGAACCTTGAAAAAAGGTTAGAGGAATGGCTAACTAAAATAACCAGTTTAGAAAAGAACATAAATGACCTGATGGAGCTGACAAACACAGCACGAGAACTTCATGAAGCATACACAAGTATCAACAGCTGAATCAATCAAGGAGAATAAAGGATATCAGAGACTGAAGATCCACTTACTGAAATAAAGCATGAAGACAAGATTAGAGAAAAAAGAATGAAAAGGAATGAACAAAGCCTCCAAGAAATATGAGAGTATGTGAAAAGACCAAATCTACGTTTGAGTGGTGTACCTGAAAGTGATGGGGAGAACAGAATCAAGTTGGAAAACACTCTTCAGGATATTATCAGAACTTCCCCAACCTAGCGAGACAGACCAACATTCAAATTCAAGAAATACACAGACCACCACAAAGACACTCCTCGAGAAGAGCAATCCCAAGACACATACTCCTCATATTCACCAAGGTTGAAATGAAGGAAAAAATGTTAAGGGCAGGCAGAGAGAAAGGTCGAGTTACCCATGAAGGGAAGCCCATCAGACTAACAGTGGATCTCTCAGCAGAAACTTTACAAGCCAGAAAAGAGTGGGGGCCAATATTCAACACTCTTAAAGAAAAGAATTTTCCACCCAGAATTTCACATCCAGCCAAACTAAGCTTCATAACCAAAGGAGAAATAAAATCCTTTACAGACAAGCAAATGCTGAGAGATTCTGTCACCACCAGGCCTGCCTTACAAGAGCTCCTGAAGGAAGAACTAAATATGGAAAGGAAAAACCGGTACTGGCCACTAGAAAAACATACCAAACTGTAAAGACCATCAACACTATAAAGAAACTGCATCAACTAATGGGCAAAATAACCAGCTAGCATCATAATGACAGGATCAAATTCACACATAACAATATTAGCCTCAAATGTAAATGGGCTAAATGTCCCAGTTAAAAGACATAGACTGGCAAATTGGATAGCGTCAAGACCTATCAGTGTGCTGTATTCAGGAGACCCATCTCATATGCAAAGACACACATAGGCTCAAAATAAAGATATGGAGGAATATTTACCAAGCAAATGGAAAGAAAAAAAAAGCAAGGGTTGCAATCCTAGTCTCTGATGAAACAAACATCCAACAAAGATCAAAAATGACAAAGAAGGACATTAGATAATGTTACAGGGATCAATGCAACAAGAAGTACTAACCATTCTAAATATATATGCACCCAATACAGGAGCACCCAAATGCATAAAGCAAGTTCTTAGAGACATACAAGGAGACTTAGACTCCCACACAATAATAGCGGGAGACTTTAACACCCCACTGTCAATATTAGACAGATCAATGAGACAGAAAATTAACAAGGATATTCAGGACTTGAACTGAGCTCTGGACCAGCAGACCTAAGAGACATCTACAGAACTCTCCACTCCAAATCAACAGAGTAATATACATTCTTCTCAGCACCACATCACACTTATTCTAAAATTGACCATATAATTGAAAGCAAAACCCTCCTTAGTAAATGCAAGAAAGGAAATCATAACAAACAGTCTCTCAGATCACAGTGCAATCAAATTAGAACTCAGGATTAAGAAACACTCAAAATCGCACAACTACATGGAATCTGAACAACCTGCTCCTGAATGACTACTGGGTAAATAACGAAATGAAGGCAGAAATAAGTAAGTTCTTTGAAACCAATGAAAACAAAGACACAATGTACCAAAATCTCTGGGACACAGCTAAAGCAGTGTTTAGAGGGAAATTTATAGCCCTACATACCTACAGGACAAAGTGGGAAAGATCTAAAATTGACACCCTAACATCACAATTAAAAGAACTAGAGAAGCAAGAGCAAACAAATTCAAAAGCTAGCAGGAGACAAGAAATAACTAAGATCAGAGCTGAAGTGAAGGAGATAGAGACACAAAAAACCTTTCGAAAAAATCAATCCAGGAGCTGGTTTTTTGAAAAGATTAACAAAATAGACCACCCGCAAGACCAATAAAGAAGAGAGAAGAATCAAATAGACACAATAAAAAATGATAA